TGCGACCATGCTGTTGCTAATTCCACTGTTTTTTTTTCAGCACTCGAAGTGCACATTTTGCTGTAATTTCCTGTAATTCTTTGTAATAATTTGAATTGCTTAGGAAGAATGGGAGCGAGCATTGGCCGATTTCGCACGCCGATATGAGAAAGGTCAAGTGGGGAGCAAGAATAAAGAAGAACTCATCCGGCACCTGACGATAAAACGGGACAGGAGACTGGAAACTTTGCAACAGCAACGCAAGGAACGTGAACGACTGCAGACCGCAGAACTGGTCGACCGGCAAGCCAAAGAGATGCTCGAGCTGTTCAAGCAGGCGCGAGTAGTAAGGCTTCATCAGTTTCTGGCGCTAGCATTTGCCTAGGGCAAACATCGCTGTGGTATTTCACTTTGTTCTCTTGGGTCACTTCTGAGATTTAGTAAAATGTTCACCCCGACCACTCTATTTGTTTGAAAGCGAGTGCAGTAAGGGAGTAAGTTCAGTTCAAGTTTGATATTTATTATGAGGGACACAACGGGCCGACAGGCACAAGGTATTGCCAGCCAGTTGGGCACTCATAACGAAGTTGACCTGAATTTCCAATTGTCCTCAGAATTCACTCCCCACCACAGCCAGTATATCAGTCAGTCCAGTTTGCTGCAAGAAAACGAGCATGGAGGATACGAATGCCAGAGAAAAGTACTGCTTTCGTGGCAGTCCCAGCGATACCTCATCTGTTAGCCGTCAGATTAATTCTTCTCTTTCTCTGTTTATACCAGAAGCAGTAAGTTCGAGTCGCACCTGACTTTAACTTTAAAGTTTTGAGTGAGATACGTTCACAGTAGAAAGTCAACACTCCCGCTGCTCACTCTCTGCAACAGGCAGAAACGTTCCGGACTAGCACCAGTGGTAGCAAATGTCAACAGTAATCACTCACTGGCAGTGCTGTCGATGGCTGTTTTAAAGAGCGCTGCTTAGAAGCAAACTGATCGCGATTTTGACTCCCTGGCGCGTGCCGGTACCAATCTACTAATAAAAGGAATGAGTGAAGAAAGAGGCAATTACTAACCCAGGCTGGAACGCACCGGACATGCGTTTTGCACCGGACTTCAATTACTCAGGTCATTAACTGCATGAATTGTTGTTGCTTTACACCTACCTTTTGCGATCACTAGCACAAATCACCTCTAATTTTGCATAAAGTAGATATACAATTTCCATTTAACGATCGTTCTTTAAAAGTAACCTAGTTGCTCAGTTAGATACTCAGCCAAAATTTTGAGTGCCCGTACGTAAGAACCACGCGTAACTCAAGGCTGAATTTGAAACACTTAAGTTGTACTTGGACAGGGAACATCCCCCTAATGTTCCAGCCTTCCAACTTTTCTAGTTGCCGAGTTAGTAATTTTCCCGTAGGGACTTTCATAAGTCCTTACGTAAGTACCATGCATAGCTTGGAGCTGAATTGAGATATTTGAGTTGTACTTGGATGGGGAATATTCTCCCAAAATTTCAGCCTCCCAGCATTTCTGGTTAACGAGTTAGCAATTTCTCCGCCAAAAACTTTACATGACCGTAACTGGATATCCCACGTTTCTGGAAAGCTGAATTTGAAATTTTTAAATTGCACGTGGACTGGGAACATCACCTTAAAATTCCAGCCCTTCAGCTCTTCTGGTTGTCGAGTTAGCAATTTTCCTGCAGAAACTTTCATATTCCCTTACTTGTGTATAGCGCATAGCTGGGAGCTGAATTTGAAATATCTGAGTTGTAGTTGGATAGGGAACATTCCCCCAAAATTTCAGCTTTCTAGCCTTCCTGGTAGTTGAGTTAGCAATTTTGCTCCTAAAACTTTCATACGCCCTTACTTGAGTACCACGCATACCTGGAAACTGAATTTGAAATCTTTAGCTAGTACATGCACAAGGAATATCCCTACAAAGTTTCAGACACATAGCTCATGTGGTTCCCGAGATCTCTTTCCCGCCAAAAAATTTGCATATTTTTTTGAGGCTTCCGTACGCGACACCCAGGCTTTCAAGGCGGATGAAATTAAAAAGGGAGGGTCGCGCATGGTATGGGTACATATCCCCACAGTTTCAGCCTTCTAGCTTTTCTGGGTCTCGAGTTGAAAGTGGGTGATAGAAAGTGCGAACACACAGCCACACACACACGCACACACATACACACACGCACGCACGCGCACACACACAGACAGCCTCTTCCCAATATGCGTTTTTGCAATTTACATATATGCAAAAACGCATAATAAATAGCGAGGGTGCGGTCGTACGTTATGTGCAATTTCCGTCCACAGAACGATTGCCTGCTAATGATTTTCACAGCTTTGCATTTTGGTCTGTGCAAAAATATATGAAATGTTTCTGGTTCTTATGTAGCGAAATTTCCCACTAAAAATTTCACGCATACGAGATAATAATTTCTCTATAAAAACTTTTATGGAGCCGTACGTGGTGTGAAGGCTGAATCCAAATTTGCGAAGTGGTACGTTGGTACAGGAGATCACCCTAAAATTTCAGATTCCCAACTTCTGCGGTTCCCGAAATAACAATTTTTCCCGCCGAAACTTTCAGGGACCGTAATTGATACTCGGATGCGCGGCAAAGCTGAAATTAATATTGCAGGATTCTATATGAACAGAAGACATTACCGTGAAATTCCAGCTTCCTGGCTTTTATGGTTCCCGAGATAATAATTTCCCAACCAAAATTTACACGGGGTCATAGGTGATATCCAAGAGCGTGGGAATGCTGGATTTGAACTCGCGAGGCCGTACCTGTGCAGGGAGTCATTACTCTAAAGTTTCAGTCTCCTAGATCCCGTGGTTCCCAAGATAATAATTTATTCGCCAAAAGTTCCACGAGGCTGTACATATTACCCACGAGCGCGGGAAACATGAATTTAAATTTAAGAGAAGTCACACATGGGCAGGAAACATATCCATAAAATTTCAGCCTCCTAAATTTCTTGATTCCCGAGGTAATAATTTACTCGCAAAAATTTTCATGGGGCCGTAGCTGATACCCGAGAGCGCGGGAACGCTGAATTTGAACTTGCAAGATTGTGCGTGGACAGGGAATCATTACCCTAAAATTTCAGCTTCCTAGATTCCGCGATCCCCGAAATAATAATTTACCGGCCGAAATTTTCACGAGGCCGTCTGTGTTACCTGCGGGCAGGAGAAGGCTGAATTTAAATTTTCTGGGTCGCATATGGGCATGTTTTACCCGGCCAAACTTTACGGGGCCATAAGTGTTACCCGCAGTAGGGGGAGGCTGAATATAAATTTTGCGGGGTTACACGTGGGTGGGAGACGTTCCTCTAAATTTTCGGCTTTCCGGTTTGTGATTCCTGAGTTGAAAGTTGCTGACAAGTTGCTGCGGACAAATACACAGACAACCCCGTGACAATATGCGCTTTGTGCTGCTGTCAGACAGCACAAGGCGCATGAAAAATCGGCTCAATTTGACTCGGCTCGGCCGGCATCATACACTATCTACAAACGATTCTTTCGGGTGTCCTTACCCCGTTGCGGCAAAAGAACGCTGGACGTCGTAGATGCAATGGTAGTGGAGGAGGAGGTGAGGCTTCGCGTGCAGGTCCCGCAAGCGGGAATTGG